GGTTGTAGTGTTCTTGTACCTCTGTGGGGAGATCTGCTTGAGAAATTTATCCATTTAGTCCTAATTCATCAGAGGACAGAGTTAAACTTGAAAGTGTACAATACAGCAGAGGTAATAAATGTAGTAGCTTGCTTCCGCCAGAAGGGCAATGCCCCCTTCCCCCAGCTCTCAACATCTGCTGCTTACCCTGTACTGACACTGGCAGCTCTACTTCATAAGCTGACTCAGTACATAAAGCTGGCAGAAAGCTAACCTGGCAAAAAGCAGGCCATTTTCTGCTGGGTAGTGAGTTGATTAGCTTAGTGAGGCTCTAATGAGGGCTAGGTTAATAGTCCCTCTGCTCTTTCACTTGCTGTTCTAGCCCTTTTATGTACCCTCACTGTAAGTGGGATGCTGCCCTAAGGGCATAGTTTATGGTCACTTTAATACAGCTAGAGTGAAGAAATACCAATTGGGAGCCTCTCCAGAGCTAGAGGTCTGTGGGTTTTGGGTCTGTACCCTTTCACAAAAACAACTGTGTATATAGAGAGTAAGTCAGCCTGAGGTTTGGTGTTTTTTTCTGGTTTTTAGAGAAGTATTTCATCTGCCTGAAGAGGTGGGAGGGATTGTCCTCACTACAACAGCTTTAATTTAACTTGATCTTTGTTTCAAGGATAAGGATTTTAGATTCTTACCTGTAGGAGGTATTTCATCAGAGTGAATCGGGTATGTTCTGAGTATTCTTTTTTTCTTCACCTTTTCTACCCAGCATTACTAAGGAGAAAAGCTTTCCACAGTTGCTGTTTGATTTGGGTAATATTAGGATCTTAAGAAGATTAAACTGAATGTGTTTAGTGTAACTTTGATAAAAGCTTGATGTAGTAATGTGTATTATTGTAGCTCTATGCAGTAGGTAGAGCTTCTATTTTTGGAATTTAGACTTCTATATGCTTCAGTTTTACAATATCCTGCTTAGAATAATTAACAGAGCAATGGCACGTGATGGTGAATAAACTGGATAATTTTGCAAGTGTTAGGTTTTACTCCTTTTAATTTTATCTTTGTGTTCCTGTATTGTTGCCTTGTCTAGTTTGGGGAGAGGAGAGGTGTGGCAAGGAGTGGAGTATTCTGCCTCTAGGATTTTGAGACTAGTATTTAGAGGGGTTTGGTTTTTTGACATCATAGCACAGCTATAGGCATAAAACATGCATACAGAAAATTGCTGTAACATCACACAGACCGGGTAAGATTGACTTCAGAACAAGGTAAAATAGCCTTTGTGTAACAAGAATGTTCACATTATTGGGGGCTCCCACCAGCAAATCTGCACTTGTAAAAGGGAAGGTGAATGTTTCACTATACAGATAGTCTTTTTATTTTAAATAGTCAGTGTCTAGACAGCCTTGCTAGTCAAGGTAGACAAGTCTTAACAATTCAAGTACTGTCTGTACTAAGGAACTGAAGTAGTTAAATCCATTGTGCACGTTGTTAATCCGTTTAGAGTGTGTGCTAGTAGTTACGTTCAACATGATGAAATAACCTGTTGCTAAACATCTAGCTTTCCATACAAATATTTCCTAGCAAATGCATTCAGAAAAACAGAATGAGCTACCTAGTGTAAAAAAGTAGGTGTTGTCTGTATCAGTGTAGCTTAGAAGTGAATAAACAGATGTAGATAAGGTGCACTTCCTTAATGTGATACTATCTTGGTGTAGTTTTCTTTATGGATGTACTGAAATATTTAATACTTATCTGGCAAGCCATACAGTTTGTCAGATTTTCATACCAGTTATTCCCAGTATTTTTGGGCAATCTTTCCTCCTCGGTTAACTCGTGCAATTGTTTTAAAATAAAATGCTAAGCCTGTGATGTAGGGCATTTTGACCCTCCTCTGCATGGTACTGGTGGTGGTGTGGTTTAACCTCAGCTAGCAGTTAAGTACCACACAGCCACGTGCTCACCTCCCCCTCTTCCAGTGGAAGAGGAGAATCAGAGGAAAAGACAAGGAAGCTCGTGAATTGAGATAAAAACAATTTAATAATTGAATATAAGTTAATAAAATAGCAATACTGATGATAGCAAAAATACTAATAAAACTAACATTACTACTAATAATATGTAATTAAAATAATACTACCACTAATAATAATATGTAATGAAAGGCATGGAAAATGAAACAAATTATACAACTGCTCACCACCTGCTGAGTGATACCCAGACAGGTCCTGAGTAGTGAGAGCCAGAGAGCCTGACAGAGATCATGCCAGAGTCAATGAGTCCCACGAGCAAGAGCACAAATGAGAAAACCAACAACATGGCCCTGGCCCACCCGCGACGTATATACTGAGCATGTTGTTCTAGGGAATGAAATACCCCTTTGTTCAGTTTGGGTTAGCAGGCTGGATTCTGTCCCTTCCTCGCTGCTTGTAGAGAAAAAGTTGGGGACACAGGCGTGGTAACAGAAGCTGAAAAAGTCTTTGACTTAGTACAAATACTCCTTGGCAACAACTAAAAGCACCAGCGTTATCAGTACTCTTCTCAGCACAGATCCAAAACATAGCCTCGTGCTGCTACTTAGAAGAAAATTAACTCTGTCCCAACTAAAACCAGCACAGGTGGTCACAAGGGTGTAGTGAGTCAGATCAGGGAACCAGTCTGGCCAAAATCTGATCTAACCACATGGGGACAAGAGGGGAAGTCTGAAGTGCCTTTTCATTAGTCTCTTCTAATGAAAAACAAAAGATAGTGGTGCTGGGAAGCAGTGGAAATCTTCGAGAACTGAGACAAAAATTGAAGCCCATGGAACCAGAGGGGAAGGTCATTGCCCTTGCTGCAGAGCCCAAACCACAACGCTGTTGCTTACCTGGTGGTCACTTGGAAAAGGAAAAATCCTCAGTCCAATTTCTTCAGGGTGTATCACTGCAGTAAATCTACCCAATTTTATTATGCTGTTCTGTATGTGCTGGTCACACAGCAATAGAGGCGCCTTAGGAGGAGGTTCAAATGTTGAAATTTCTTCAGTGTTGTGGGCAAGATGGCATCATCAACATGAGGACCGATAGTGCAGAATCATCAAGTAATGATTCTGAGTAATGTGGGAACCCACTGTCTTGGTTGCACTGCTCTGAAGTTTATTTAAAACTTTTTCCAAAGGCCGTATTGATGTGTGCTACATATGCAGAGCTGTTTGTAAGCCTGTCATGTGCTTATTCAAAGATCTTATACATAGCTGAGCTTCTCAAAGTTCAGAGCAGCTTCTCATAGTGTAGGTAGGGATGACTATTTCATATTGATCATCAGTAGACACTGAATAAATATTTGTACATGACTCAGCAATTTATTAAGGAAAGATGGCATCAGTAAGTTGTAGGTTAACCTCTACTGCATTTTACATGACAGTTAATTTTATCTGGATTGAACAGTGCTTATTTTAACACTAAAGTTGGACTTTTGATCTTTTCTTTCATTCCTATGAAACAGTGTGACTACTTGGCCCCACCAAGTTAGATTTAGCCAAAGCAGAATAAATCCTATTATTTGTAGGTAGACTTCTCAGGAATAAGATAAATGTCTGAATTTTTGGAATACTTCGTTCTGTTCAGATTTTCATTTAGAGTTATTTAGTAAGTATGTCAAATGTCAGTTTCCTGTTTTACAAATTGTCAGTAGCAAGTGAAGAGCAATACAGGAGAAAGATCTAAAAATGCAGAGAAACAGATGTTCAACAAATGTCCAAATGTCAACTAATAATGAATCATAATTGAAACTTCTTAATCTGTTACATACACAAAATCAACGTGCCTGGCAAACTAGGGCTTACTTTCAGAAGCGGTAAGTTGATCTGTTCAGGTTACCAACATATTAAGGGTCACTTACTAATTAAACTGCCAAAACTAAATACAGTGACCTGTAAATATGTGCCTTGCATATTACTGTGAAATGTTCAAAACTGAAGTTGCTGGTAATTGTGCTGTTTATATAATGAGGAAACAAGCTACACACTTACTATGATATATTCTCTGCCTTCAAGTGATCACACTGGCCAGCTGACTGGTCTCAAATCAGCTATAGTCATTAAGAAAAACTGTTGTCCCTAATAATGAACTTTGTGTGTTGGTTTGGGGATTTTTAGGGGTGGGGTTTTTTTGTTTTTGTTTGGTTGGTGGTGGGTGTTTGGTGTTTTGTTTTTTGGGTGGTTTGTTGTTTGTTGGTTTTTTGGGTTTTGTTTTTTTTTTATAGTAAATGCCTGTAATATTTTTATTGTAGGTAAGCAAGTGAGAACCAAACTGTCACAGGCCTTTAATCACTGGCTGAATGTTCCGGAAGATAAAATACAGGTATGGGCTAATTCTTTTTAAAGGTCTGTTACCTTTCTTCCAAGACTACTGATAACAGATGATTCTCTTACATAGCATAAATTGTCAGAAAGCTTAAATGCAGTAGTTTCTGAATATATGAAAGTAAACGTTCAGGAAAACTACTTTAGTGTGAAGCTTGGACTGTGATGTAACAATAAAGAAATTACTTCTATGATTTGTCTTACATAGAATAATTACTTCTGTCCCAGTGTGCTCCATCTTCAGTTGTAGATGAGCAGTTAACCATTGTTACCCACAGAACATAACTCAGTTATTAACAAATTGAGTTTTTAATGACTCATGAAATAAGCTAGACAGTTATCTTGTAAACTATGCAAATATAGTGGTTGAAAATAAAAACTTCAGACTTTGATACAAGAATGTCAAAGACAGCAGTTAAATCAACTTTATAAACCACTTCTTGTTGGGGACCTAAAACTGTAGTGGTCTGATCGTACAGCCTAGAGTCCTTACTCCCTAATGAGAAGCATTAGACTAGGAATTCTCTTTTCCTATTGCTTTTCTTTTGGACAAATCTGTGCAAGATGTATGGCTTGTCAAATGAAAAACTATCCTCTTGGTTAGACGACAGTTTTGCTAAATGTTGTATCAAGGGTGCAAAAGATTCTCTATCCAAGACAATGTAAGGAATTAAAATCACCAGCTATATTTTTTGACAGTTCCGCAGCTGCTCCCTAGTTAATTTCATTAGTTGTAGGCGGAAGTACTGTTAGAGTTTGTGAAGGAGTCCTCTTTAGAATGGCTTAAGAGTGACACTTCCTAGTCCTCGAGTAGCAAAATGGTGTGATTTTAAACAATGAAGGAGGAGGCTGTATTCATCATCTAGTAACTCTTTTTCTATTGTCCAACCTGTCTATATAACTTTTTGTGCCAGATTTAGTCTGTCTTCCAGCTAGACACTTGTTAGTCTCTGTGCTCAGCTGCACATCCAGATAAAATGTATAGTAACCTGTGTATTGCATTGTATGCGTGGGCTTAGTCTATTTACATAGGTCAAGATTCAAACTGGAAGGAGCCTCAGGAAGTTACCCAGGGTAACCTGCTGCTTAAAGCAGGGTTTGCTCCATGACTACTTTAGGCTTCTGGGGATGTTGCTGAGTTTTGAAAATCTGAGGATGTAGATTCTGCAGCCTCTCTGAGCCTGTCTTCCTATGCTGAACCCCTTCCATGACAACAAAGTCCTCTGTTTTCTCTAACTGGGATTTCTTATGCTGCAGTCTGACTGTTGCCTCTTGCTGAGCACCCCTGACAGTAGTAGGGGTCCATCTTCTCTCATGTACTACAGTAAAATAAAGCTGCAGTGCCTGTGTGTGAACAGAAGTTACCGGTTCTACCTGTCGTTTCTAAGGTGATAATCATGTAACTATTACTGAAAACTTCGACCACTTGTTCTGGTTATTTTTATGAAGAAGACCAATGCTTTAGTGTTTCCCTTACCACTTGAGCTGTTTGCTATGGAACTTGAATATTTTTATTCTTCAGGTTATTTGAGGACAAAAACAAGACCCTGTCATCTTTTAATCAACATCCTGCCGCAACTATTAGTGCTTTTGTGCATACTTGTACTAATTTTACCTTAAAGTTGTCGAGGTCTGCAGGACCGCCTCTAGTCATCTTTTTGATGTCTGTCATCATCGTCTTAAGATGCCCCAGTTGTGTAGCAGCCTGATTCTCTTCCAGCTATTCGCATTTTTTGTATTAAAAATCTGAATTCTGGCACTCCTTATAGGACATTTTTTTACCTTAGATCATTTGTTGTCTTGTAGTTTATTTAGATGAATACAGTTGAGGATACTGTTCTTGGTAGTCGATTTTACTACTGGCTGTCACTGTTCCACTTTTTTTTTTCCCCCAGCCAAGTGGTCCCTGGTGGGTTTCCCCCCACTCCCCACTTACTGCATCTCTAGTACTCATCTGATACTGCACTGAGACACTTCAGCTTGTTGAATTAGAGAACACTGGGTTTATCGGATGCACTTTCTTCTGAGAAGGCACTGATATGACCTGGTACAGGGCCAAGCAAATGTTAAAGCTATTGTAGTTAAGGAGGTAGAAATCTGTGTGTTGAAGTGATAGCACAGCAGCCACTGATTAGATAGGCTTAGGTTGTAAGAAAGCATAACACTCTACTGGTTCTTCAGCTTTCATTATGAAGAGCAGTCTTTTCACTTCCTTAGACTACTTCCTGATGCCCTCTAAAATAAGCTTTTTCTGCTCTCTGAACTTTTTGCTCCTTACTTTCAACTTTGAAGCATTTTTGACACTGTCTTTAAGTTCACAAGATAACTTCAGTCAAATGCAGTCATGAAGCACCATTTCAATTAAATCGTAAACTTCTAGAAGCTCCAGAAGTTCATGAAACTGCCAGTGATACGAAATAGGCTAGCAAGAGATGCTAGAATAGGACTATCCAAGGAATTCACAGAATACAGGAAAACTTGCCTGATAGTACTGAGAATGACATAATGGACTAAAAGAATATTCAGTAGGTATGCAAAGCTGCTTTCAGCAAGTACTCTATCCTCTGAGTTAAAGTCAGTGGGCAACAGCAGATCCTTCCGGGTCAGAGTAGGACTCACTTCAATCTGGTAGATGAGTCATTAGTGCTTCTGGAATGGGTTGTTCTTGCTGTCGTGTTCTGGACAAACAATTGGATTGATGGCTTTTGGGGTTCAATCTTTGGGACAGTGGTCCCTAAAGACTAGGTGGCTTGCTGCTCAAGACAATGCATATCTTAATCAGGTGTGTTCTGCAGTGAATTTATACACTATGCAGTTTTACGTGCTTACATTTATTTCCATTTAAGCAGGGTCCGAATATAGCTGTTCTTTACATAGCAGCTGTGCAATAAAAACAGTATATGGTGTTAAAACTCTTAATTTCTTGTTGAGTTGTGCTGCTTAGGAATTGTTAAGGTTCACTTTTAGTGAAATGTAATCATCTGCAAGCTTGGATGTTCTGAGTGGTTTGAGTACCTCAGATGGTGTATGATACTGATCTACCTAGTAACAAGCACTAAGTGTCTAGAAAGCATCCCAAAAGAAGTTGTAGCTGTTGCCTTTCTGCCAAGAATTTTCCAAATGATGTTTTGGAGAGAATAATCTGTCCTTTAAGAGCTCAGTACTGAAGATAACTACACAAAGTGTGGTGAAAGACAGATGAACTATCTCCACTTAATGAAACAAGGTTTACGAGACAAATGTGTTAGTGGGTGATACCTGACACTCAAGAACTGACTTTGGGAGATCTCGGGTTACTGAATCTAAAAGACACAAGGCTGTGTTTTTCTTTTCCTCTGTTCATGTTTCTAATAACAGTTACTGCATGACTTCTAGACAGTGGCATGTTATAGAACTGTAGCAACAATGAAGAGGAGCATGCAAGTGGAACACATCAGGGAATAAATTCGCTTTGAATCTGAAGATGTGACAGAAGAGACAGGCAATATGATCCAGGGCTTGCAGCAAACTGGCTGATGAAGAGAAGCAAGTGGTCTAAAGGGGAACCTCAGTGATAGAGAATATCATTCTTTAAAACCTTATCCATTTTAAATAAGGTCTTGTAAAACTGGAGATTAAATAACAGTGGGTGACTTAATAATTTTCTCTTTTTGTGATAGGTTATCATTGAAGTGACGGAGATGCTGCACAATGCAAGCCTGCTTGTGGATGATATTGAAGATAACTCAAAGCTACGACGGGGCTTTCCAGTGGCACACAGTATCTATGGAATTCCATCTGTAATCAACTGTGCTAACTATGTGTATTTCCTTGGCTTAGAGAAGGTTTTAACCCTTGATCATCCAGATGCTGTTAAAGTTTTTACCCGTCAACTTCTGGAACTCCATAAAGGTCAAGGCTTGGATATTTACTGGAGGGATACTTACACTTGTCCCACGGAAGCTGAATATAAAGCTATGGTACTGCAGAAGACAGGTGGTCTCTTTGGATTAGCTGTAGGCCTCATGCAGCTATTCTCGAATTATAAAAAAGACTTAAAGCCACTTCTTAACACACTTGGCCTCTTCTTCCAAATAAGAGATGACTATGCCAACTTGCACTCCAAAGAATATAGTGAAAACAAGAGCTTTTGTGAAGACTTAACCGAGGGCAAGTTCTCATTCCCAACCATTCATGCAATTTGGTCAAGACCTGAAAGTACTCAAGTGCAAAACATTTTACGTCAAAGGACAGAGAACATAGATATAAAGAAATACTGTGTACATTACCTGGAAAATGTGGGTTCCTTTGAGTACACTCGGAATACATTGAAAGAGCTTGAGTCTGAAGCCTATAAACAAATTGAATCACTTGGGGGAAATCCTGAGCTTGTAGCACTAGTTGAGCAGCTGAGCAAAATGTTCAAAGAAACTGAAAATTAAGAAAAAATAACTTCTGGGGATGGATTAAAACTCTCTTTAAAATGGGGAAATAACCAGACTGACTGAGAGGTGTGATAATCAGTCTTGCTTAACTCTTTCTTTTTTAGCCATATTACAGAAAGTACTGTTAAAAACAAGTTGCCACTGCGTATTGAAATATACACTGGTATTTATACAGTCTTAATTGTAACTGCTTACAGATGGTGCTGTTAAAGCAGATGGACTAGAACTGAAACAAGTTTTGAATCTACATGTGATCATCTTTACACAATCAGCAGCATTATTTCAAGCCTAAAACTCTCATATCTTTAACCAGGCTACTGCAGGTTTCAGGCTGAAATTCTGTGTTAAATTTAATCAGATTGACCTGAGTGTATTGTGCGTTTTCAAATGATACTGTAGTAAACCAAAATGCACTATGTTAAGTAACAGAGGAAGATACTTGCAACCACACTGCACAGAAAACTGTAGTGTGGTATTTCTGACTTAGACTATGGAGATCAGGTGGATCAGCTTACCAAGTTCTAAAGTGAACATCCTATCCAGCTTCTGGGGATATTTTCAGGGGAATGTGAATTATGAAGGGTAGTCTTATTTGCATATAAAATACTAATGTTTAGTCTGAAATTGTAGCTTTATAAAGATTTCCAAGTACCTTAGAGAAAAGATGCCATTGCATCAGCAAAGCATGAATTTGCTGCTGATTCCAGCTCTGCAGTGAATAATTTTGATTGCCTGGTTTTAGATTTTTAAACTGTCAATTTATAGCCACTGTAGCTCTAATCTGTGCATTAGAGATCATACGTGTAACCGTAAATAGCAACATATTAAGCTGCTGCTAGAAATGGAATGGGATTCACACCAGGTAACTTTAGGACACTGTAATTGATGCAGGTCTCTAATCTCCGCTTGTAATTGCGAGGGGTTTCTGCAGGAGTTGATTCACAATTCAAACTCCATTCCTGTTCTGAATTGCTATCTGGAGGCATGTTATAGGTCTCTCCAAAGAGAAGTTCTGTAACTCTTTTTCTGAAAAAAAGCACAGCATCTTGTTCTGCAAGCTATACCACTTCATTTTGTTAATTGCTTAAATAGTGCTTTAAAATTATGTACATAGACATACTGAAACAGAACTGGAGCTGAGCTAAATTAAGAGGAGGGAAGGGCTGATAAGTGACAAAGCCCTCTGCTCGTCTATCATCTCTCTCTATATATATACACACACAAAGGTGAACAAAATATAAGCAGAGATGTTTGTGTCTTCTCAGCTGGGCTGGCTTTAATCAGGTTCAGTTCACTTAGTCTTCACAGCCACCGAAAGCTTTGCTTTGGTGCAAGGAGGGTTGGATCAAAGGTAGGACTGGTGCTGTCAGCAGTGATGTTAGCTCAAGCATACTCTCAAAGGAGATGGCCAGAGGTACTTGGCTTCTGACAGCTGAAGGATGGTTTTCTGCAAGTGTTCATGTGCTGTACCTGGACAGTGGGGAGAGTCACAGTCTCCTTTCCATTGAGAAAACAAGATGAAGGTTGCTGTGGTGTCTTCCTGGGCAGCCTTAAGATTCTTCGGAAAGCGATCAACCATGAAAAACTTCAGGATGACTGCCTTCAGTCAGAGACATGAAGTAGTTATGGATGATAGCTTATCCCTTTTATCTGCATCCTGAGGAGGGATCTTTGTGTGCTCTGTGATTAGGCACAGAATAATAGCCTTTTCACTGAACAGACCTGGTCGCTAGGACTTGAAGCTGGTGAAAGGCATCTTTTCTTTAATGTTAACGACAGTGAATTGTATTTTTTTGTTTTATGAGAAAATACTATCTGCAGCAAAGTACAACATTTATTTTGTGCTACTGTTGTCCAAATGTGGGTTCTTCACCTGGTGTGCAAAGAGCCGATCAACACACAACGTCAAGATACTTGTGTTTATTTCGTGTCTGCGCAGAGATGGGTGCGAGGTGGTAAGTCCACAAAGCTTGCACACCTGGTTACAATCATTTTGTACATGTATACAATTCAACAGTCACTCTGCTCCTATTGGTTCTTTACCTTCACATTAAAGGTACAGGGTTTACTAAATTCAGTATGTACATTTGGTGGGTAGGGGTCTTCTCCAGGAGTTGGGTAGGGTAGGAAATGGAAGTGTGGTTTTTGTTATAATGAGTGAAGTTCATCTAAAGTAGACAGTATTTCTAGGCATTTTGCTGACATGTTAATTAGTTTTGACAGACACTGCTAACTAAGGATATACTGGATACTCATTGCACTAGTCAAGGATATACAAGATATACATTTGTTTTTCAAGAATTTTGACCTACCCCTCTTCTGTTCAAGGTTTCCAGGTGGCTTAGTATTTTAGTACAGCCTATCTTAGAATAAAGTGTTCACAATTGCCGTCATCAGTTCTCCCCTTTGAGCCTATGTAAGAGAAAACTTTTTCTTACATTAGTCTCATCTTCTCATGATTGTTTTCTCAGAACAGAACATTTCCAAGCACGTTGTGTAAGCACGTATATACACACAAATATTAATATCCCTTGAAGTATTGTACATACAATTTTCTTTACTGTCAGGCTCAAGTCGGGTACCCAAGAGGTCAACCAGTTCCAAACTTCAGAAAATCCAAGGGATACATCATCCTTATGACTCTCATATAAAATTTTAGCCTGCTTCCAAATTTATTTAGATCTATAGATACTCTTCCACTTTGATGTACTTGGAGTAATGACTACAAACCCGCAGTTTTTACTTTTTTCTGACTAAAATTGACATCTGTATTTTCTTCCAAAGGTCTCTTGGGTTCTCAACTCTATGTTCTCATGATGAAGCAAAGAATTATTTTTTTTTTAATCTATCACCACCTGCATTTTCAAAGAAATTAGTGTTCTTACAACTATGCCCTGTAACTACTGGAATTAATATTATTAGTACACCACAAAACAGAACCACTCCCTGAGGACACTCTGACTTTACATAAGCTATTTCTGAATTCTAAGTACAATTCATTAAATTCATTAATTCTCTGGTTTATTTCAGTTTTAACTCTTCCCTCAGTGCTGAGATCCACTGCCCTTCAAGGAGGGCCTTCTTCACCCTTGTGTAGTGGACCCAAGAGTCAATTCCTTCCACCTTCACCCCAGTGTAAGTAGTCAGTAGAATAGTATAAGGCCCCTTCCATTTTTCTTTCAATAGTTCTGCTTTCCCGAGCCGGATGTAGACTGCGTTTCCCAGTTGAAAGTCATGCACAGGTGAGTCCAAAGGTAAGGGAGCTCACTGATCGACATACCTGCATAAAGATGACAAAACCTGCAACAAATAATTTTTCAATATTTCTTCCCCTTCAACGTGCATCTGATCACCTCATGTTACAGTACTATTAACTGGATAAGGTTTACCATGTAGGATTTCAAATGGGTTTGCCCCTTCTCTAACTTCAGGAGTAATTCTCTCATCAAGGCAATAGGTAAGATGAGCTTCTTGGCATAACTTAGCAATCTGTCTTATAATAGTTTGGTTCATTCTATTTTCCACTAGACTCTGTCTCCAAGGAGTATGCAAATCCCATTTAATTTGCAAAACCTTAGATATTCCCTGGCCTATTTCTGTAATAAAATGAGGTGCACTGTCAGAAGACGTACCTTCCAGAATCCCGAATCTAGGAATAATCTCTTTCAACAATACTTTAACAACTTCCTTAGCCCGACTTGTACAACAGGAGAAAGCCCTTGGCCAGCCAGTAAAAAATACCTACCAAAACAAGGAGGTAGTCCTAGCCTTTCCTCTCATCTCATTGGATAGTTTCTTTCTTAGCAGTTGCGCCCCTGCCTTCAATTCTGTTTAAACTGCACTCATGTTCTTTTCCTTCTCCAGTTTCCTGGGTACCCAGACAAATGGAATTACCGCATCCAGAATGTCCTTAGAAATATCGGAATCTCCAGGTAGTTCTATAGCATCTCTTGTTAAAAAGCAAATTTTGGCTTCCAAAACTGTTTCTTGCAGTTCATGTAATGGAATAGATTTGTCAGAAAAGGTTATTTGCGCATTTAATTTACATGCAAATTGCAGCACAAGACGTTCTGGCATATAGAGAAATTTGTGCATTAATTGAGTATTTCCAATGACACATTCCATTGGCTTCAAAAGCAGCATTAAAGTGTGCTTTCCCCTTGCCCCAGCAATTGGTATATATACTTTACTCGATGGTCCCCTACACCTGGTAATTATGGAATGGATGGCCTGTTGTGGTTTAACCTCAGCTAGCAATTAAGTACCACACAGCCACTCGCTCACACCCCCCTCTTCATTGGGGGAGGAGAATTGGAGGAAAAGACAAGGAAGCCTGTGGCTTGAGATAAGAACAATTTCACGATTGAATATAAATTAATTAAATACTGATACCAATAATATTATCAATACTAATAGTAATATGAAATGAAAATAAAACGACTTATGCAATTGCTCACCACCTGCTGAGTCATACACAGCCAGGTCCCAAGTAGTGAGAGTCTGAGCGCAAGAGTGATCACAGTAGGGTCCACCAGAAAGCCCGAGAGTGAGATTACGCCACAGTCAGAGCAAGCCCCACAACTGAGAGAGTGACTGAGAAAGCCAAGTGACCCACCAGCTAGCTCTCTAACTACAGAACAACAAACTATGGCCCTCACACCCACCCCCAGCTTTTGTACTGAGCATGACGTGCTATGGGATGAAATACCCCTTTGGTTTGTTTGGGGCAGGTGTCTGGACTGCGTTCCCTCCCTGCTTGTATTGAGAAAGTTGGGAACGCAGCTGCAGTATCAGAAGCTGAAAAAAAATCCTTTAATTTGGTGCAAGCACTCCTTAGCAACAACTAAAAAACACCTTAGCAGTACTATTCTCAGGGCAAATCCAAAACATATCAGCCACTGCAAAGAAAATTAACTCTGTCCTGACTAAAACCAGCACAAGGATATACAAGATAGGCGTTTGTATTTCAAGCATGTTGACCTCCCACTCCTCTATTCAAGGTTTCCAGATGGCTCGTTACTGTAGTACATCCTATCTTAGCATAAACAAGGTTCACAATTGCCTTTATCACCAAGTCTTGGGAGTTTGTAAGCACTGTTGCAGCTGCTGTTGAATGTAGGGAGAGCACTGGAAAAACTTTTTGTCTGGAGAATCTCCTAGCCTTACTGTAAAAGATATCCTTGTGCCTATTAGGATACTGTAAATGACATACAAAACTAAGTGCACTTAATGCCATTTTGTGTCTGCTCAGTTGCTGGATGTAAATGGTTTTATGTAAT